TCTCTCTCTCTCTCTCTCTCTCTCTCTCTCTCTCTCTCTCTCTCTCTCTCTGTGTGTGTGTTTGTGTGTGTGTGTGTGTGTGTGTGTGTGTGTGTCTGATGCATGCTTATAGACAAGGTAAGCAATGCAAAGGAGCAAAAGGACCAGTGAGGTGATGATAAGGAATCAGACATACACAATGAGATCGATGACATACATGATGACATCAGAGAGACATACACAATGAGATCGATGGCATACATGATGACATCAGAGAGACAATGTGTATCCATACAGTCATAAAATGATACAACGTAGCACAGCAGAAGACTCAAACATACGACCTGACTCAATGGACAGACCTGACTCATACCATCATCATCACACATGTGAGAGAGAAGGGAGGCCGCATACACAGAGAAAAAGCCCCCCCCCTTGAGCACGCACATGGGAGGTAAACCACAGATGAGCGGAGAGAAAGGGGCGAGACAAAGATGGCGGCGAGGGAGTAGACCAGAGTCGAATACACTGCTGTCAAAAAAAATAGTCTCCTTGTCAAGTGTCCAACCAACGTCTGGCCCAAGAATGTCGAATCAGATCCTGGGCCCCATAGCCCGTAATAGCTCTGCCTGTAACCTTTTTCTTTCTCTCGGAAGAAGAAGAGGAAGAAGAAGAAGAACAGTGACTATGGAGGTCGGAGTCAGGAAGAAGGAGAAGAAGAAGAAAGAGAGAAGTCTCCTCTGTCTCTCCCTCACCTGCTGCTGCTGAAGTCCTGCCAACACTGACTGGTGAAATGGCGCTCTCTGATGCAGGTCGCTGAAGTGCAGTCCAAGCTGTGGCGCCCAGGTAAGTCGTCCTCCAGCCAGCGGCTATGGCTCTCCAGCCTCCGCTCTCCCACTACCTCCTACTCCTCTACCTCTACCTCTAGCGCAGCACTCCAACAGCATGATGCTCACAATGTTGCCCAACTGAAATCTGCCGAATGGGACTGCCCTCCCACTATATATAGTGTTGGGCCTGGCTGGGCAGCCCACGGTCTGCATCCAGGAGCGTCAGATCTAAGATCCAATCGAAGGCCCTGAATGCAGGCCCAAATCATCCTCCTGGTGGTATCCTGCTGCTAAAGCAGGCCCTACCTATTAGGGGACAGCCTGAGGTGACACACCAGACAGCAAGACTCAGGAAAAATAAAAATAAAAAATGCTGAATCAAAAAAAGACAGCACGAATCAGCAAAAAGATAAATAAAGAAATAAATAAAATGCTGAATCAAAAAAAACTTGAAAAAAGACAGCAAGACTCAGCAAAAAGATAAATAAGGGAATAAATAAATGCTGAATAGAAAAAGACAGCAAGACTCAGCAAAAAGATAAATAAGGGAATAGATTAATGCTGAATCAAAAAAAGAACCTGCATGAGGCAGAAAAACGTGCCTGGCCTGGAAATGGCCATGGGCCTCCAGGTTGCACAGCCAAAAAATGGTGTGCAGCCTGGGGCCCCTAACAACCGTTGGGCCCTAAGAAAAAGGGCCCGTGTACAGGCCTCAGCATGCTACACTCTCTCTCTCTCTCTCTCTCTCTCTCTCTCTCTCTCTCTCTCTCTCTCTCTCTCTCTCTCTCTGCAGACTACGAGAGAGAGAGATTTGTGACTTTG